ACTCACTGTAATACCGATAAACACTGGCCCTGGATGGAGCTTCATCACCAAAAATTGGACTAAGTTCATCCATGCATTGCTGTTCAGTTAGTCTACGTCGAAAATAGTAGAAAATAATCGCGCGAAAATGCTCACGAGTCAACCCCATAACTTGGCCTAAACAAAATCTTATAACTTAGTGTAAACAACACAAATCGCGCTCGAATTTACCAACCGTAACCTCAAAATAGTCAAACTTTACGATAGTGGTGTCAATTGCTAGATTGCTCCACTAGTGTTGCCACATCTCAAAATATAAAAGGCAACCCTCGTATCTTAGTGAAATACTGCCGAAAACGTTCTGGTGAACGGATAAAAAGGAACGGAAAACGATGCAGTCTGTGGACTCCCCTCCTTCCCCTAATTGCCGTACCTGTGTAAGCAGTGTAGGTCCACTGACTCAACCCCCAGTTATACTCGGCGACGTTTCGAGTTATTCGAAATTACCGAGTGCAAGGGGGAGAAGAAAAAGACAACAGGATGCAACAAGTGCTTCTATTGAGATTTTTGTGAGAATATGGTGTTTTAGGATGAGTAGCAGCCTTCCTATTGAAACTTTCAAAACCTGAACAGTTTTATTCTATTGACCTTTCGACAGCAACCGCTTTTTGGTTGTAGGAGCTGGAGTAGATAGTCGGTACTTCTGAGTGCCACTTCCAACTAGAAGGTGAACTAAAGTGTAATCCGAAACGTTGTTGATTCACAGAAATGGGCGCTATTCTTCAACGAAGGCGATGCAGCTACTGGCACCTTAAGCCTGATAACATAGGGCAGCCTGTGTCAGAGATAACTGGTGACACCCTTGGCTTAGGGACAATACGGTTATCTTTGAGGCTACTTCCGAGCTGTGTGGCAAGAAGCCGGTAATGATCACCTCAGGGGTACACTGTAAGGCAGTTCCCCCTGAGGTCGCGAGACGGCTTGAATCCTACCTGACTCACCGCGGAGTGCTGGTGGGGTGCAGGTTCAGACAACAATCTTCCTTTGCAAATTCGTGCTCAGTTTCGGAAGTTTCCATGGAATTTCTTCTTTCACGAAAACCTCATGTAATTTAGAGTTCAGAGTAATTGACAACAATGTTGCCAAGATCGCAGATCGATAAATATGGTCATCGTCTGTTCTTACGTAGCTTTGGTCTTTATATTCTGTTGTCTTTTCTTGGACATGTTGATTCTGAACTTGAATCGTTTGATAATAATGGATAGGATAACACATAATCATCTGTCCAAACCACCCATTTGAACCTTCCACGATACTCCAACTATAGGAAGACCTTTTTTCAAAGGAAGAGTAACAGTTTTCTTACTGTATAAATCGCAGTTCATTTACTTCTTACCTATGCACATGGTGTATATCTTCCGTTGGTTTGATTTCCAGACATTTTTGGAAATGGTTGTTTCCGCGCAAGCAGAGAAGCATCGAACTGAAACCGACTGCGCAGAAGACGAAGACGTAAGACATGGATTCAGCATTAGATCGGAAACTTACTGTCTGTAGTTCTGCCGTTTGAACAGGTTTGATCACCATAAAATATCTCCTTACTTCTCAAGATAAGTATTTAGGATGACTTCTTTCAAGATGTAGAGGAATTACAAAACCATGGGATTGTGAGTACGAAATTTCACACTTCTATAATAGAACATTCTCTTCCATTATTGATTGAAAACCGATTGGATTGTATTTGTTCTATACTTTCAGAATATGGCCGACATTAAAAAACTACAGTCTGTCGGTATTTGTACAGTGAAGGGTGTTATGATGACAACAAAGAAACGCTTAGCAGAAATCAAAGGCCTCTCAGAGGCGAAAGTGGATAAAATAAAGGAAGCCGCGTGCAAAATCATGGTAACGATTTCGCTTTGCAAGATTTATTTATTTAATGTTTATTTTGTTCTCATTCACCTATCAAGAACTGGACCTTAATTTTTCCCAGGATTTGGGGCAGCCACTATTTTAGAAGAATGGGTTCATCACCGCCTTGGAGGTGTGTGCCAGGCGTAAACAATGTTTCAAAATTACAACCGGAAGTTCGGAATTTGACAAACTGCTTGGAGGTGGCATTGAAAGCCAAAGCATCACAGAAGTTTTTGGAGAGTTTCGAACGGGAAAAACACAGTTATCTCATACATTATGTGGTAAGTGAATACACCAGTCGTAGTACCTTGACTGTAAAGTGGTTTTGAAGTTCTTGGTTTATGAATCTAGGAATATTTTAATTATCCACTGAAATACAAAATTAATAAAAGTATGACAGTTATGACCACTTATAGCGTTTGTTTCTCAGTTTCTTTGCTTTTTTTTTNTTTTTTTTGGAATTTATTGGATTTGATATCGTGGATGGTTCGATTCCATCATGCTATAATGTAGTTGGGGAACCACTCAACGTAGAGTCACAATCATATTGTTGCACTATTGCAGTGACAGAGGAGTAAGCCTCCAGGTCTTCTGGCTTTCCTACCGGTTCACCGCTATACTTACAGCATTTCATCACTTCTTCTAGACTTACCAATATGTCTTTTAGAGTTGCGCACGACATTATTCCAAGATTGAAAGAAACCTCATGTTGAATCGCTCATCTCAAGCATTCCGTAAAATTCAGTATGATTTCTTTTAATGAGAACTGTGGTATGAGGCTTTAAAAAAGGGAAATATGCTGTGTACGTGTTCAATGCAAAAGCGAAAATTTGATCTGATTGTTGATGATTGAAACAATCTCTTTTGAAAATATGTGACTTTTATTTCTACATTTCTTAGCACTCTAAAGAATGTCAGTGAAAATAGCGGTCAGGAGGCGCAGAGGCCGAAGCGCTCTGTACCCTTTTCTTGGAATAATCTTTTTAAGAGGAATCTTCTCTCGAAGTGAGGGATCCTTAGAGAGACAAACGCTGATTTTTCTTCTCCAAATTATCTTCTTATCTTACGGATACTTAAATTGATGAACACTTCAATTGATAAATGGAATGTCGATCGATTCGTTTTATTCGATATAACAATTTGTTTAATATTTTTGTGCCTTGAATTTTACCAGAAATCGGAACTCAAATTGCGTGAAATAACTTTGAATGGGAAGGTTCCAATGCTGTGTTGTCGTGATCCCGCATAATACCCTTATGATTAGTACAACACAATTTCAGCCACTTGCCAGCTACCATGTGGAAATTACCGCGGCGGGAAAGTAATATTCATAGACACTGAAAATACTTTGTAGGTTTCGTGTTTTTCAATGTTTTATTACACATCCCTGCGACAGGATATTGAGTTAAGCCTAATTTTTCTTTAGTCGTCCCGAGCGTCTCCGTCCGATCTGCGATAGATTCAATATTGACCAAGAAGCAATGCTTGAGAATGTATTATATGCGAGAGCATTTACTTCAGATCATCAAGTAAGTTCGACGTGGATTCCTAGTTTTTTTTTTCACGTCTCCTTCCCTCCTTTTTTTCTCCTGCTGTACTACTTTCTCGCAACTTATTATCTTCTTCTTGCCAGATGGAGTTACTAGACTACGTAGCTGCTAAATTTCATGAGGAGATGGGTGTCTTCAAGCTGTTGATTGTCGACTCAATAATGGCTCTATTCAGGTCTTTCTTAAGAGTCTTTATTTTCTTTGCGTATTTGCCTAGTACATATTCGGGGTTTCCTCTCATGTTGCCAACAATTAGAAGTGATCCGTGCTGTTTGTGCAGGCATTACTCTCCATTCAAATTATGGTAGTTTCCAAACTGTCACCCCTATTGTTTGTGATTAATCTCGGTCGACAAAGAGGGCACTTTTTTTTCAAAATCTCTTTGTTATCTATTCGCTTCGATTCGAATTCTTTTTTTTTTGATATTGATTTGGGAACCGCTTCACTGGTAAAGCATTGCGATATTCTTTTTTTGATATAATGAGAGTTTTCAGAGTCGATTATTCTGGAAGAGGCGAATTAGCGGAAAGGCAACAAAAATTGGCTCAAATGATGAGTAGACTTCAGGTTAGTCTAGAAACTTACCGTAGTAAGTTTCTTTTCNTTTTTTTTTTCAAAATCTCTTTGTTATCGATTCGCTTCGATTCGAATTCTTTTTTTTTTGATATTGATTTGGGAACCGCTTCACTGGTAAAGCATTGCGATATTCTTTTTTTGATATAATGAGTGTTTTCAGAGTCGATTATTGTGGAAGAGGCGAATTAGCGGAAAGGCAACAAAAATTGGCTCAAATGATGAGTAGACTTCAGGTTAGTCTAGAAACTTACCGTAGTAAGTTTCTTTTCCTGTTAAAGCGTGACTTCTAGGATAGCGTTATTCAGTGGCTGTACAGTCACAATTTATAGCGGCGGAAAAGTTGGGAGAGATGCATTTCGAAGTGGTAATGCGAAGTGCGCTTCGAGGTGATAATGCTTTCACTACTTTAGAAAATCGCTGAGGAGTACAATGTGGCAGTGTTCATTAGCAACCAAATGACAGCTGATCCAGGAGCTGGTATGACGTTTCAGGTTGGACAACATTTGCAGTAATATCCGCATAATTTGGTCAACATCTTCCTTAGTTAGAATTAGAACGAAATATTTGATATAGGTTGAGTTATAAGAAATGTGACCAATATGCATTTTTTTTTGGGAGCATTTCTTCAGGCAGATTGTATTGGGTTCCTAAGAGATAGCATTTCCAGGTGGACCCCAAAAAACCCATTGGAGGTCACATTCTTGCTCATGCTTCAACTACACGTATTATGCTGAAGAAAGGTCGTGGAGAAACGCGAATAGCTAAGGTAGCGATGTTTAGAATAACTACGAGCCACCAGTAGGTAGCATAGACTTCCCAAAAGAGCCGTATGATGGAAATCGGGCCCAGAAATTGCACATTTGGAATTGAACATCCTTCAGCTTATTCTGAACATAGTTCAGAATAAGCTCGGAAAAGTTATCTTCCATTTGCGCTCAAGAACGCCACTATAAAGAAAAGTTTAATGGAACATTTGGTGTTCTAACAGCGCTGTCAAAAGGAGTTGGAACAGCCAATTGTGGGAAGTCAGCGTTCCGTCAAGTTTCACGCACAAGTTACAGTAAAATACAACATATCGTTGCACTACCCCATATTCACCAATTCTACTATGTTTGTTCGCCAACATGCATAGCCCCTGGTTTGTTGATGTGTTATAGAATACACGACCTATGGGAAGTCAACAATGATCGTTCACTTCCCCGGAGATTTGTGATAGAAATTTTCTCATCGAGAAATAACTGCTATATGTTTTTATTATGGTAATATCCCTGAAAAAAATGTAGACCTTTTAATTGTGAACAGTTTTGAAGTTTTTTTCTGCAAAGTTCGCCACTTGCAGATTTATGATAGCCCTGATATGCCAGAAAACGAGGCCACATTTGCCATTTCCAACGGAGGAATTGTTGATGCAAAAGAATAGCCGATGACTAAGTCATTGCATTCTGTACAAATGTATATGCTTTTATGTTGGATTGCTGTAAATTTTTTGTTCCTGTTGTTGTCAGAGAGATCTGAATCAAGTTGATCTTGTAAATTTTAGTCATGTAAGAGGTGTTTTTTTNTTTTTTTCTTTAGTGAGGCTCACGAGAATTGAACGATATCAGAATTTGTCTTTCATCTATACAGATATTTGTTTTATATGCAATTCTGATATGTTGCAACTTTCATATTCTCTCAGGAATTCTGTACGTTTTGTTGTATTTCAAAGCGCAGACATGTATATTTAAGAAAATCGTTTGTTTTGGAGAAATATATTTCTTTTTTTATTGGTGTAATAAAATTTTCAACTGTTTCGTTTCACTGCTGCGTGCAAATTCGTCATTCGAAGCATATTTAAGTTGGCTAAAAGTCAAATCGTTTTGGTTTATTCAATATTTGATAAGCTCTGATTTAATTGTGCCAATTTCCTGCTTTTATTATACTTCTTCGAATTTCACTTTAGGCTTCCATGTGGTTAATGACTCGTCTGACTTTATCACTGAAGCTGGACAAGCATGCACCTTGTGACAAGCGTGAAAAGGTGGGCTGCCATACTTATCCATTACTTCACATGCGCTGTCTTTACAGTCATTTGTAGATGAGTCAGTGATAAATTTATTAATTGCAGAGATCGGCATGGAAGTACAGTATAAAGGCGGCTGTACCATACATGTCATATGGCAAATGTACAAGGGGAGATAGAATAAGAATGTGGCAACTGTACGAAGTGACAATCTTTGCTGTGAATAAATACAATGCATATCAAACTGTCTGACACATGGTGATGAACTCGTTGATGGTAACCGCTCCTTTTCCTTCGGAATCCGCCTGGAAAATATGCGCTGTAATCGCTAAGGTTAGTTCATGACTACTATTCGTAACCTTCTCTGTTTTGTTGGATACTTTACCTTCTTTACTTTTACTTGTCACCATAGAGATGTCATGGCATAACGGAAAATTAAATGATGCATTTGATGAGTTAATACATTACTTCGTTTACCTGCTGCCAGGATTCTTTCGAAAATGGAAAAGCAAAAATCAGGATTGGGCAAGGTAGGCAGTGGTCATTTCCTGCTATAGCGGATAGGTGAGAGTGTCACCTGAGTATTATGTAGGAACAAAGAGGACTCTTTCATGAAAACGCGGAAGTGAGAGAACAAGTTGTGTTAATGGTATGATTCACAGATATAGTCCCGCAAACAGGGACGGGCAATGTCGCGAAGGAATGAGGGATTGGTCTGAAATTAATTGGCTGAGCGTTAAAAGTTCTAACAATAAGGGAATTATTATTTCAGTTCTATAATTTCTATCGCTACATGCTACCCCAAACTGAACTATGAGTGACTTCAGCTTCACAGCGACTTTGGCGAACCAAATAATCATTTTTTGAACACCAATTTATTATGGATTCGAATGCTACCTGCTGTATCAATGCCGTAGCTTCTTTCACTGTTATTTTCGTTTTCAGTGTTTCGCTCCATGCTACCACCAACTCCTCGGCAGAAAGCTGGAATTTCAAATAACTACAGGTAATTAACTAAGTAGCTTCTTCGAATGACTACCATTTTAAATCATTCATTGTCGAAAGAGTTGATGGCAAAAATGAAACGTACCAATCCATCCTTATTTTTGTCGAATTTTTCAAACATTGCGTGGATGTCGGCTTTGCAGTTGTTTAACTGAAAGCAAAAGCAGTTGGATTTGTGAGAGATGACACTGTTCCACTCTGTGTAATGAAATATGGGTGTATGCGAAGTCCACGTGTATGGGGAAGCGTAGACTTTGCGGGGTCTAACATAGTTTTCTTTTTCGTACCTTGATTTTGGAAGTGACAACTGCGAGGAACTCTTCGAAGTCGATTTCTCCGTCTCCGCTTTTGTCCGATGATCGCATGACAGCTTGTACAACTTTCGGCGATACGTCGCATCCGAATCCGCTTAACATTTCAGCTACCTGTAACAAACGTCAAGCTAAGGAATGACGATTAGGACTCCAAAGTTTTAAACTTCTTCTCAAAGATGTGGGTGATATGTGAGTGAAAATAGAGCTGATAGAATGGGTAGGTCACCTCTCCAGCAGTTATCGTTCCAGAACCGTCATCATCCATCGATACGAAGATCTTGTAAATCTGAAAATGTTGTTTTCAGGAGTGAAATGAAGTTTCGTCGAAACCCTGTCGGGAAAAAGCCATCTCCATATTTCTATTCATACCTCCAGACGCCCACACCCGCTTCCTGAGGTTACAACCGGTCAGCTTTTTACATTATTCGGTTCTGCTATAGTATTTTTATGCTATAGATGCTGGCGTGATCACTGGTTCATCTCAATCTAATTTCCGNTGTTGTTTTCAGGAGTGAAATGAAGTTTCGTCGAAACCCTGTCGGGAAAAAGCCATCTCCATATTTCTATTCATACCTCTAGACGCCCACACCCGCTTTCTGAGGTTACAACCGGTCAGCTTTTTACATTATTCGGTTCTGCTGTAGTATTTTTATGCTATAGATGCTGGCGTGATCACTGGTTCATCTCAATCTAATTTCCGAGGGGAAATAGGTATTTTGGCAATTTGTACCAATGGTTTTCGATCAACGTCATTGTTGTAAACGACATATGTAATTCGGTTGATGGCATTGGTGTTTTCCGGGAAAAGCCATTCGCTAAAGTGTTTTCTTCATTGCTTTTTTTGAAGCTGCTGCGCTGTTCGAGGTTAAACTAACTAAACTTATACGAAAATTAAATTCCACCCGGTATTTGGGAGGCCCTAGTGTTGACCACATCCTACGCTCAGCTTCTGTGTATGTTTTCCATGACTCTTGGCTTTCGATACCCATGTCGTTGAATAATGAGCAGCTCCGATTTCAAGGACTCTTCTTACATAGCCTGATGGAAAACACGTCATTAAAAAACAAATGTAAATATGAGATGCCCAAAATTCTCGGGAACAACTGTCGGTTCAGTAACATTGGTGGCTTTTCCAGAAATGCTACTGAAGTCTTTCATGACAAGGGAAGCGAACAACCTTGGGATGATGTTGTTCTTCTAGCACAATCCTCAGTTCCTTTTTTTTTCGAGGGTTTTTTCATTTGGTTGCGAATGTTGCTCCCCTTACGCAACAAATCGTTGCATTGTCAAGGTTCAGTCAACTGGAATCATCCGAGCAAATCCTTTGGATGGCAGATGCTGGATGACGGGGATCTTGACGAAGCACCTAACGAACCGTGGTTCATATATTTTCTTTGCGGTTAACTTCCCATTCTTTTCTTATGCACTCAAAAGTCACAGCCATATTTACACCCATGTCTACAGCGCCAAAGGACTCCTTGCAGGGGAGATGCAGCTTTCACTAAGATTAAGTGCAGCCCTCACATGAGTTTCAGATGTTGGTGTTTTGCGTGGGAGCTGAGGTTTTGCAACCATCCAAATCCATCGTGCAAATTCCAAAGTATCGAGTTACAGAAATAAGCGAGTCTTTCTCGCGCTGTTAAAAACCTCGTTTGCTCTATTTTCGGAGGGACTTAACGAGTAACGAGAGAGTGACAGCCGCACAGAGCTTTAAATCAGAATGAAAAAGCGGGGCATCTCAACATTAAGATGTGGAGGATCAAATTCATAGGAAATAATAAATATTCTATATATATATTCTTTAATATTCCGAAATAATTCCGGAGTCCGTTTAGATTTCTTGGATATTTCCGCGACCGATACTTTAATTCGAAGACCAGAGTTCAGGTAGGGTTTTTGAGATTCCTAACCCTAGGGAAGTTTAATGCACAGGTGCAGCTTGGTGGAATTATGTTAGAGTAAGACGAAGTAAGGAGTATTGTGGTTCGGCGTAGTATGGAACCGTTTCTTCATCAGGTTTTTTTCTTGGTAGTTATTGTTATGATGTTGGTAGTACTGTTATGGTGACATGCCAAAAAGCTATTTGTAAAGACTTACTGGGAGCTTCTCCCATACCAAAATTTAGGCTCAAAGAGGGACATTGCTCGCTAGAAGAAGGACATTGCTAGCTTTTTCAAGTGGTATGACGTGTTGATCAATCCAGTCGCCCATGTGCTGTATCCATAACTCGCAATGCTATGTCGTCACAGCAAACCCCTTGAGTAAGCGACAAGATTCGTGCAGTTCATGGTTTCGTAGGGCAATCGGCAGTTTGTCTTCGAAGTGGACACTCTTCTAACAAAACAACGCCCCCATCTCAAAATAACACATTAATCACCACCATGACAAGCCGCGCGTTCGTATGCGTTCGGCCGTTTGAAGCCTCCACAAAAGTTTGAGAAACTTTAGCACAGGTGTTAGTAAAAGTGTAGAGCGATTCTGCGCAGCTGTCTATAGTCGACTTTTCATAGCAGCCGGCTGAAGACTACTATGCAGACTTGCTTTCATTCAGATCGTCATCTAGAAAACTTTGAACTTAACTGCGATCCTTTGAAGTTTTACACAGATTACGGAAATATATGAAATGTTTGTCGTAAAAGGATGAGGAGTGAAGTTTTTGGAATTCACCCGAATAGGCGACTTCTGTTCAGAACGGAAATGACACTGGAATGAAATCGGCTCATACAATGAGTCGGGAGGACAGCCGATATACAATTTACTAAACTTATGTTACCAAAAAAGTCTGGTACCAGTTGAACGACCCGAGGAATGGAGTGTTTAGTTGAACTGAGCAGCTATGAACTCAATACTTGGTTCGCGGACCATGCGCTTTGAAGAGACAACTTATCCCTTCTCCTCGAAATTCTGGTAGCTCTTGTCAGATATTCGGCCAGTCGGCGTATTGTACTTGTTGTTGCTTCGTTTTGCTGCTATATGCCGTCGAATGGTCTCCTAGTGTTGTTGTGTGAAGTACCACCATTCCAACAACTCCAAAAACCAATTCTCCATAGTCATCATCAGAGGCACGTCGTTCCGACGCCGTTCAAATTCCCAGGAGGCTGCTTGGGAAATTTTGTTATTCTGGACAGGCGATGACGCCCACCACCACGGATTAAATAAATAAATATGAAATACGATTATGATGCTGTTACGACTGCTTATGGAATGGTTGGATTGTGCAGTGCTTCCTAAACTGGGATGGTGAATGACGGTGATCAACAGTCGACAAAAAGTTCGTGTGTTGGCCGAGGCTTTGTTTGATAATGGGGGAAAAAAACGAAAAATGTCAGAAAATGGATGAAACCGATCAACCTATGCAAAGAAGGAAGGGAGGCGAACTGGCGGTTTTCGATTTTTGTCCATACTCTCCTAGTTGTTCTTGGAACACTACTTGCTACTATAGCCATCTCCTCGGTGCGGTACAAACTCCTTCCCATCCCTTGGTGTCTGAAAGACTTCAACCGTCGCCCATGCTACAAGTTTTCTTCTTTGTATGCATTCGGCAGGTCGTTTCGATTCGGCTAGTTCTCTTCCAAGCTCTATGTGAACACCTTTCTCCTTTCCTTCTAGTTCACCTTGATCCATGAATAAAAGGGAATCTAGGAAAAATTCACTTTTGGAAAAAACCTTTCTTGTTAGGGCATGATGCGGGAGGTGTCATCTATACTGAATTTCGGAAACGACCAACACAACACCATTGAATGTTTGGTGTTCGAGGCACAAGCAAAAAGTTTTGCATCAAATTGCTGGAACAAATAAGAAAACAAATCCTTTTATAATGGTCAAGGCTTTATCATTATGATAGAAGTAATTGAAACTTCTGGATTTGAATTGAAAAATTCTGCCAGCGCAGCAACTCGTCCAGAACTAACGACCCCTCTCTAGTTCCCTCAAGGGTCGCCCCTTATGGAGTACACTCGTTCCCATAACTCCGAGGGATTTATGACAAAGGCACCTCGTTGAATTCGCTGAGAGATGGGTAGTTTCATCGTCGCTAAAGCTAACTCACCACCAGATCAATATATTTAGTATGTAGGCAAGTGGTATTTCCTAATAGAAAATGCTTGAACAATTTTCCTTCTCCGTTGCGTGAAGGAATTCTCCAAGTTGATGAAAAAGTGGTTTCGTACCTTTTCGACGTCTTCCTGACTGACATGATACTTCAGTGCGTATTCTTTTGCGTTAGCCAGCTTGGCGTTCCTCTTNGACAAAGGCACCTCGTTGAATTCGCTGAGAGATGGGTAATTTCATCGTCGCTAAAGTCAACTCGCCACCAGATCAATATATTTAGAATGTAGGCAAGTGGTATTTGCCAATAAAAAGAATTTGCTTTTTCCGTTGCGTGAAGGAAATCTCCAAGTTGATGAAAAAAGTGGTTTCGTACCTTTTCGACGTCTTCCTGACTGACATGATACTTCAGTGCGTATTCTTTTGCGTTAGCCAGCTTGGCGTTCCTCTTCTTGAGTTTTTTCTTGGGGACTTTGTGCTCTAATAGAGCTTTCCAAAACATATTGTCCTTTTCGACAGACATCTAAACGAAAACGAATATTTGTATTACGTGAACTGATGATGGCAATGGAAAGCACATTTGTATTGAGAGCGCATTGAATCCACGGTGATCGTCGACCAATTTCACGAAAACGAGGTTGAGGGTGGAGAATGGGCGGCATAAACGCAAACGTTCAGAGTCAGTTTCTCGAAGAAAAAGGAAAGAAGAGCATTGATTATGTCAAAACAATCATTCAAAAAGCATTCAAAAGAATAGAGAAATCAATAGGAAGTGCTGTCGTAAGGAAGGAAATGAAGATTTGGATTGACGACCAGTAATCACAGTTCGGGAATTTGAAAACTCGTCGACCAGGTTACGCTCGGGGAGCTGCCCGAAGACAAGACCTCTCACATACGACTAGATCCCAACTAGACTGTATAAATTGGAGGATTGGCTCTGAAAGAATGTAACTAGTGAAACACCGTAACATTGAAAGTGGTCTGCGTTGGATGACCTAATCTTTGCTCACGTTCGTTCTATGCAGAACTAGAACCTTTCAACAGGAAAAGATTGAATTTCGAATCTTTTCATTTCAAACGCAGGAGTCATAAGTTCTCAGACATAGCTAAAGCACAATGGGAAAGGCTACAAACATAGGATGAGAACCTGTAGCAAACAATGACACTCGTCTTTGTGTAAACGAAAAGCAAAGACGATAATTCACAGAGATAATACTTACTTCAGATGTACTGTATCTCTGTTTACAGTTACACTGGGATAAAGAACATTTTGTAATGTCACAGGCTGACTGTAACGTGGGTATCTCTTGGAAAGACTCGATCCTAGAACTTTACACTCGATCTTTTCGAAAATTTGTCGCAGTAGAACCGTTTTGTTGGGTCGACTTTCAAAAAGTTCCTTATGGAACCGAATATAGTTTGTGGCTCTTGATATATAGTAAGGCCGGTCAATCGCTCAAACACGCCAGGCCATTTCCAACATCTACCAGAAGTTCGAACACAGATGATATGGGCAAGGAAACCAGCATTTTACGATATCACTTGCGTTGACTGACGCCACTTCGAATAAGTTAACAACGAGAGACGGAAAGCTGTTTTGTTTTGTTTCCTCTACACATGCTCTCGGTGTGCAGATCTCCATTATGTGGATCCAAAGAGGGCTCGGAGCTAGAATCTCTTAATGGTCCTGCGCGTAAAAGTTTTACGAGTGCTTCTGAAGTGCTAGACAGGAACGTTACGAATTTTGTGATGTTCTGGTTGAGTAGAAGCACGTTATGACTATGATCAGGGAAAGCGCTTTTACGGAGGCGAGGGCTTGTTGTGGGCCACTCACTAGAACCCGTTGCAGCTAATTGCTCTAGAGAAGGATGGACGAGGAAGTAGTTATGCGCATTCTCATCAAGTATTGTCGGTACACATTGTTCACAACCACATGGTTTGAAGAATTCAGATTGTGCGGAATCTTGGGCTGGCAGTTAGGGATTACGAAGAAATTTTGTGCAAAGACTGGATCTTTACATATGTAGTTGCGTTCTACTAAGGAGTGGTACCCTAGAGACCTCTAAAGTCTACGCTTACTCTGATGACGTATTCCGAGTGATTGTGCATTCCTACATCTACAACAGACAAAGCGGTGCTGTTCATCGCAAGGTGACTGCTGGTAGCGAGTGACGTCTTTTTGTTGAGCACAGTAACAGCTCTGGACTTCAATCAATCACGAAAAGATTTTGCTCTGAGGGCAGGTTGGAGGTTGGAGCAGAAGCTGACGAATGAGGGTTCACCCCTTTCCATGGGTTTGCGGGGACATCCATACAGGTGAGGCGGTCAGGATGTTGAGAATTTAGAACCGCATTCAGCAAGACCGAACAAGTGTATGGGTTCCGGGCTGGGAAAACATCGGAGCAGTGATTTGACAGTCAAGGAAAAATCCCGGTCAACACGAATGACGTCGATGTTGAATGATAGAATTGCGTTGTAGCCGGTTATTCATCATTCAAGGGAAGGCAGAATATGCTTGGTTATTAGAACAAAGAATCACTATTGGACAAGCAACAACGAAATAAACTGAATTGACCTTCAAATGCAGTCGAATTTCCTGCACTGGTACCTTGTTACGTTGTGCTTGGCCTATGTGAATGCCTAACAGTACCTCATTTGGTCTTATTGGGTTCCCCAGACTATCCAGTATATTGAAGTGTACTACTTCGACTTGATCACTATCTGTAAGGGAATCTCACAAGCTCATGGGATGATAACTTTTCCATTACTAAGTTTCTGTAAAATGGAAGGAAATGAAAATTGTTAAACCTTTGCCCTCAATTTGTAATGAAGGAAGTAATAGTGCACCATGTGGTCCCAATGAGTCAACTAGATATCTACGTGCGAGAGCCAAAATGAAGACACAATTAGTGCGCTATAAAGCATTATGCTAGGCTGCTTGAATGAAAGACTAGTTGAAAGAATCAAATTCTATTTTGTCGTATCGACGAAGAGAGGGTTGGCTTTACGGATGAGTTATCGAAGCAGTAGAGCATGCCCGAGCTAAAGCAATAGAAGAATGAAACCTATGAAACCTAACGATGGAGAACATTCCTTACTGGTAGCATTGATCTTCAAACGGAAAACGAGTATGAATCGTAAAGTAGAATCTCGGATCAGGAGCTAGTCAACAATCAGAAGAAACGTAGTCGTGCCAAACTTTGCCAGAATCCCTTTGCAAAAGGCAAACGGGGTAACGATGGAAAAATAGGGTATATAGAGGCTGTTTGTAAGCTGTAGGAGTTTTTTTATTCCATATCAGGGAGAGACGTTTGGAATTAAAAACACAGCTAATAGCTAGTCTTTCACAGGGGCACGAGGGAGTATGAGAATTTATAGGTTGCTGTGACAAAAACCGTCGCCATTCTCTTGAAGTCTCTCAAGTTCGGCAACTAGCGAGAAACTTCAACAGAACCAAACCAAAAATGAGTATCCAACAGCGCCGCGAAATCCGGCCGCAAGAAAGTCTCGCTCCAAGGTGAAACACGATCTCAGCCGGCGTTATGCTTATATGTACTTTAGGGCCAACATAAGTTCCCTTGGTATAGCACTCACTTTAGCCATGAACCTAGTCATCAGTCTGAAACGAATCAAGACCGTGGAAAGCAATGAAAGCACGTGGGCACGCACTAAGTGCAGAAAACCTGGATTAATCCAATTGCATGCAATCAAGTTTGTGAGAAACGAGGGTCAGCATTTAATGAGTAATGCAAAAAGCGCAAACTCACTGCATAAGGTTCTCCGAAGAATTACCTGATGGATAGGATGAAAGAGGGGCCGACATATTACAGGGTGGAGGAGTGGAGGAATAAAGAAAATGCTCCGGGAGCCGAGAAAAAACGGTTTTGTCTCTACCTTCTCAAGACTAACATCGCGAATTCTTTCTGTTTTGGGATTTGGGAGCCATAAACTTTCACGAATTCGTTGAAATAAGTCATTAGGTGGAACCACTAACTTTTGTTTCAACAAATGAACGAGATCTGAAGTTTTAGTTTTAAGAGGCGAAGGACCAAGGGCCAGGAGTAGGTGAATTTGCTGGAATGGGACCGGAGAACATTGATATACATAGATGGTTGACGGGGTGCTTCAATGTCGTAAAATTGTAGTTGCAATGTCCTTCCTTGGGTGGTCGAGCTTGAGACAGTAGGTTTTCCTGAAATACTCTCATACGGTTTCATAATGGTGGTTGATTGTGAAAGTTCTTCCATCCTTCAATCCTTTCCTCTTGAGTAGTGGTGTATTTCATGGAGTAGTGCACGACGAGCCTACGAAGTATTTGAGATGAGAAGGGGAAGTGAAGTCGGCCTGAATGGTGTAGGGTACTAGAACCGGTAGGAGTGAAGAAACCATAGATGATCGCGAGTGATAGAAAGAGGTGAAAGAAGTGACAACTGATTTTGTGCGATGATAGAATGATTGAAAGCTTTTCCTTCTCTAAAAGAATGTCTTGAAAATGGCAAAATTTGTAGTGGCAAATGGCGAAAGTTATATCATGAAATGTAGTTACGAAGTTGAGGGTGGGAGTCAATTTAGGCCAGTAATGGTTATAATAAGTGGTAACTCTTAGTACCCCGTGACAACAGGAATATCTGCGCTTTTTTAATGCATTTACTACAATCTGAACTCATGAAGCTTAGCTTGCTTTAACCTTTCTCTTTGTTCTCGTACAAGTATTTTGCTAATAGAACTAATTCAACCACAGAATTTCCTAAACTCTAAGTAGAGCCTGATTTGAGACTCTATAATAATGTGGGTACCTTACCATAGTGTGATACAGAGAGGTCTGTGCGCCCGGTTCTTATGGGTTGTGATGACAGAGACTGATTTATCTAGATTTCGTAGTACTTTGGTATAGTCAGTGATTTGCAGTGAACCCACACCATTAAACGCCCTGGCAATGCGCCCATTCAAGATGAATGCCCAGATGAAGCAGGTGGATGAGAAAAAAAGGTCTGCTGTTCAAGTTGGGTCGCAATGAGGCGATAACGATGAAAATGAAGATCGGTTTTCGGCGTTAATCAGGCTCGTTTCGTGGTGCTCCTACGCATCCGACTTTCCCTCAGAGTGATAATGGCGTTATGAATGCACGGAACCCACATAGTGACTTGTGGTAGGTAGCCGTTGCAAAAGTCAGCCTCTTATCCTTTGATCTAGTCTGGTTTGAATGGAGAGACCACGGAGGAAAGAAAGGTTTGTTTGGCTCGGGATAGTGTCGATAAGATGTTCGGTTCCAGGACCGTATGAGTGATAATGCTCTACTTGGTACGCCATCAACACCTCCGCAGCTGATGATACTAGACCTGGTGAAGAATTGTTTTCCGAAATTGGATTGCTTCGAAAGGCTCAATGAAATAATGTGGAGAAATGTCTAGCAGTAACCAGAGTTAGAGGCAAGTGGGAGGACAGTTAGAAGAGAAATTTTGAGCATGGGACGATCAGAATACGTACACGCAGAGCAGATACTTTGTATGAACTGCTAGAGTT